TCCTTTCCTCATATTTTTAAAAGGAATAGGTGTACGAGAAATGCTAGAATGACGTTCAGACCGTATTGTGTTTATCCCATTGCTAATACTCGTAAATATTCCATTGCTATTTCCTGCCGTGGTAGATTTAGGCCCACCATTACTATACCCATTATTAACAGACTTGAGGGCATTGATAGCGGCTTCTTTCTTTGCATCTTTCTTATTACGTGCCCTGCCACTTCCGTAACATTCTTCATCGATAAAGACACCAACAGAAAAGATCGCATTGTGCTCACCAACTTCCTCGAGAGGTTTGTAAACAGGGATACCTAATCCTCTTCGTTGAGACCACGTTTGGAGTTTATTGATTGGATCTTGAAGATCGGAGTTGAGTATGTGATCAGATGAACTAAAACCCGTTGATGACATGTCAGATTTTGACGCTTCTTGCTTGTAAGGTAGCAAATTGGTAGGTGGACAACAGGTAAGTTCGTCGACCGCAGGTGATAATAATGGCTCCATAAATTCCTGAACTGCACGCATGCTTGAACCTGAATCAAGAAAGACGGCACCAATATAAGCCTCGAAAGCATCTTCCAAGACCTTTTCACTTGCTCTTCCACCGTCTCGTAAAGCTCCGACACCGAGTCGAATATCCATGTCTAAACCGAGTTGTAAAGCAAACTGTGCCAACTTTTTTTTACAAACAAGATTGGCTCTTAACAAAGTGAGTTGACCTTCTTTGAAGTTAGGAAAGCGCCCAAATAAATAGTTGGCTACAACAAAGGAAACGATAGAATCACCTAGAAATTCTAGGCGTTCGTTATGGGGACCGGTTTTAGGATTTTCGTAATGAAAAGATTTGTGAGTAAGTGCTTCAAGACGTAAGTTATCATCTTGAAATTCTCTTTGACGGGCCGTCTTTTTCTCTAACATTTTAACAAGTTCAGCAAGTGTTCAGTAAGGAATCGGGAATAAGTAGGATGTTAAATGATTACCAATTTCAAAAGTTACAAATCACACCTTTTTATAAAATTACGATTGCACAAATATGATTGCTTGATTGGGCATCTTTTTTGTGTAAGTAAATAATCTTTTTTATTGGCCAACATCCCCCGCAGTGCGCAATGTAACATCTTTTTATGAGGACTAAAATGTTGCCTACTTGCCT